ATCTTGGCAGCAGAGGTGCAAATCTCTTCTGAAATACGATCAGAAAATGATGAACCAACAGCTGGCAGTTCCATAGCTTCATGGTGTTTCCCATCTCTCCACCACTTCTCAATTCTCACACTCACACTTCTAAGAACAGTCAAAGCCTTGTCTGGGAATTGACCCATAGCAGATTCACCAGAGAGCATCAATGCATCCGACCTTTGCCTAACAGCCTCAGAGACATCGGCTACCTCCGCTCTTGTAGGTGTAGGATACTCAATCATAGATTCAAGCAATTGAGACGCAACAATGACTGGTTTATTCAGTTGCCTGCACACCTCAACAATCCTTTGCTGTGCGGCCGGTACCTGTTCCAATGGGATCTGAGCACCCAAATCTCCTCTTGCTACCATAGCTCCATCTGATGCTTCAATGATCTCTTCCAAATTCTTCAGCGAATCAATACTCTCTATCTTTGCTATGACTGCTATGTCACTGCTACCGAAAATAAAAAGCAAATGAGCCAAAGAGAGTTATTTATGTGGAAAACTAAATGAGTAAGAAGGCAACTGCAGCAGGAATGTACACAGGTCAGTTTGGAATAACCTAAAAGTTTTAAACAAAGGCAGATGGGTCTCATATCTCTATCAAACATTCACAAGCCGCACTAATAAGCAAGGTTCCCATAGTGCGAGCCTAAGCACAAGAGGTGAGATGCCAAGTTTGCCATGACACCTTGTGGCGCAAATGGTGTGAGCTAGGGGCATATGTAAGGCTTTTGAGCCTGTAATATGAGCCACCACTGAGAGGTTTCAAATCAAAGAAGAAAGATTCTGCCCTAATTTTTTGCTTAGTGAATGAGAGAACGAAAATTTGATTAGAATTAGGAGAGCTTGGTATGACACATATTTCTTCTTTGGAGAGGAGAACAACCATACTGTGAAGACAATAACGAAGAAGAGAAGGTCAACGCATCCGGGATGGAAGAACTATAATTGTTTTCTTATAACCATTCCTTCTTCTTAGGCTTCTAACAACAACAGGACACCTTCCAAATTTAAACTTTTCTTCCAAAGGCAATACAAGAAGTAAAGGCCGAAGAAGCTCTCACAAGACGGTGAATAGCTTTTCATAAACTACGTGATCTGTAAATGCAATTCAACCAGTACACATCTATTGTATTGAGGTACTTACTTATCACGAGAGCGTGCAGCTATGTAGCTCTTAAGATGGTTTATCACGTCAGCCGATTTCACAAATGATACTGCAATGAAGTCAACAGACTCTGCAATTCCAAAATCAATGTCCAACCAGTCCTGAAAGTAAAAATATCCTCGCATGAGCACAAAAGCACAATAAAGTTTGACACAAAACAACAATGTCTACTGTCTCCAATGGGATGGTTTTACTTAAAAATAAATAAAGGAATTGCATATTCCCAAGTCCCCTGCCGCCATACAAAGGTGAGAGAGGCACGAACCTTGGCTGAAATTGTAGGAAGCATAGCATTACGTTCTCGTACCAAACTTCCATCCCTCCAGAAAGTCAAGTTAGCACGGGGCAGCAACAACCCGGGATCAGTGCACATACATTTGACGTCAGGACCGATTTTTTCAATCACCTCAAACCGAACCATTCCACCATCCACAAGTAACTCATCCCCAACTTGCACATCTGCACCACGTTGATAATAATTGTAGAATTAACCTTCGAGTTCCAACACGAAACCAGAATATCCCAAAACATCAGACAGCATAAATGATTCCCAAACGAAGAACACACTAACCTTCTGCAAAACCATCATAATTTACAGTAATTGTACGTTCAGGGCGATTTCCATCATAGGCTCTGACGCTGAGAGTCCAGACTTCACCATCCTACACATTCATACCCGCACATTACATTTCATTTTTCACAATAATTTGAACTAACATGAACCCAGGAAGCCAAATGTTGAATATCTAGTTCGATAATCAGTAAAAGGCATAGTGAAAACCCACTCAAAGCTTATTTTTCTCCATTGAGTTAATAAAACAATGCCCTTTACCTCCGCTTTGACGGACGGAGCACCGCCGAGATCTCCCATGTGAATCTCACTCCCTTCGGTATCCATCATAATCGCAACCGCATATCCCTTCTCCTCGTTCAACCTCCGGACGCGCTCAATCACCCGCTTATGCCACTCCCTAGTGCCGTGGCACATATTGATTCTCGCCACGTTCATTCCTCCGACGGCCAACGCCTCCAGCTGCTCGGAGCCACAGGTAGCCGGCCCGATCGTGCACACCAGCTTCGTCCTCCTGCTGCTCCTGAACCCATTCTCCTTCAACTCCGCCTCCGTGACCTTATCCACATCGATTGAGCTGGAATCCGCCGTCGCCGACACCGCCACAACCCTGCTCCCCGCTCCATTGTCGGCAACAACGACTGGCGGCGGTGCCGGATTGGGATCTGAAGACGCCGAAACGGCTCTGATCGAAAATGTCCGAGGAGAGGAAGCGAACGCGAAGCGGCGGTTGGGAAACGGAAGCGAAGGCTTTGGGAAGGTAATGTTCGGGCAGGCGGTGGAGGATGGAGTGAAGAAATGAAGCGACTGAGAAGACATCTGGCCGGCAAGTGCAGAGTGGAGCGGTTTCCAGACGGCGGCCGGAAGCAGAGGATTAATAGGCAGCGTTTGGCTGCTGGCTGTGCAATCGAGGGAGGCGGGGGTTTAGCGAGGAAAATGGCGGATGCAACAAAGTGAATGAGATGGGAGCAGCTTCGTAGTTGTCGCCCTCCAGTGAGCGAAAAAGGTACTGAAAAGTCCAAAATTCTTGTAGTTGCCAAACGGATCTTTGAATTACGTTGCTTGCAGGTGTTAAACGGGCCGACGGGCAAGCTTGGTTGGTGTGACTATGTCTATGAGAGAAACAATTAGGGTTGAGTAGGGATGGCAAAATATTCGTAATCGTGAATATCTGCCCGAATTTGGTCTAATCGGGTAGGGTAATACTCGGATCCGAAAGACATTTAGTAGGTACGGGTAAAATCCGAATCCGAATATTGTGAGTAATGGGTGGGCATGGATTTCTCACTATCCAACCCGAACCCGCCCGATTATACAAATGCATATGTATTTTCTCTAGATATAATCGTTATTTTCTCTAACATATTTTATATTTAGCATATAAGTATAATATTTTCATGAAATTGTGTTGTTTTAATTAATTTTCTTCATTCTAGTGAATTGTTGTCGTACTTTTCCTCTTACGTAATGTGAGAATTCTTGTGAATATTAACATATTGGTTGAAGTTATGAAGAGAAATTATTACCCGTGGATAACCGTGGATACCCGAAACCTGAACGGGTATGGGCATGGTTTTGATTTTCTAACCGTTTCACATGTGGGTATGGGTATGGGTAAAACTCGAACTACTTTGGGTAGGGTAATGGATATGCACTATTCGCCCCCGACCCGAACCATTGCCATCCCTAGGGTTGTGAACAAAACCCGAACTCACGGGTATCCTACGCGACCCAACCAGGTTAACGCAGGTGAAACTCGTGTTGACGGGTTTCGGGTCAGGTTTGGGATTAAACATGTACACTATTCATTAAGTTTGTTTGGGTTTAGGGATACCCGACTTATAGATACCTTATCAGACTTATTTCGTCGCCATACTCTCCCCAAACCCTACCCTAATTATAATTTCCCCCAATCTAACTCTCACTATACTTATTCCGTGTGCTTTTATTTAGTGTAATTGTGATTTGTTTGAATTTTCTAGAGTGTTGTTTTATATATGGATAATTTGTATTACAAAATTGATGTTTGAATTTTATTTTGATAGGAACTTGTTATTATAAATTTTTTACCACAAAAATCCATGGGTGCCCATGAACCCGCGGATATCCAACGGGTTGGGTTGGGTTTGAGTTTTTCAAACCCAGTAGGTTTTACCCCGGGGTTTTTTGACGAATAAACCCATGGGTTTGGGTTTGGCAAAACCCGACCCATTGTCATACTTAGAAACAATTAGGTGTACTCAAGCCGCTCCATATTCGGTTCAAATAAAACTTGTTCGATAATAGACACATTTCAAACTCCATTGGCAAAACCCGACCCATTGTCATACTTAGAAACATTGGCATTATATCACACTTAAATAAGAGGAACAAACAAAGATCCGTAGACTTACAATAGAATCACGCCTACTACTAAACAAAGAAACAAAGTCGAACCTCAAACAAATGAGGTGATAAGAACAGAGCATGAATGGCCACCAAATGAGCCGCTCTGTAACCATGGAATACAAACCATCGAACCCAGAAAAGTAAAAACTACGACACCCGCAAAAACAACCTGAACAGCATAGCCCATGCAATGAGCAAAGTCCACCATGGCCGCTCGAGTTGCAGAAGCCTTCCAAATATCCAAATGAAAACCCGAATAATCAACCCAGCGAAGCCATAATCCGTTGTCCAAAGCCGCCACAACAAGTATACTACCTGTAGAAGAAAAAAAAACTTTTCCATCCTACAAATGAAAAACAAAAGCCTATAGGCTTTGAAATGAAGAAATCCACCCCTCAAAAAGGGTAACCACCAATCAACAGGAGGGGAGTGTGCATGGGGAACACCCACGACTTCCTTAGGATCATCAATCGTGGTTGCGATCGAGATCCCCAATTCTTGAGCATCGAAGACAAGACGACGACGACCAGAAAGCGAAGCAAGACAGAAGAAACAAACCTCCATCCGCTCCTCATGCGTGGGTGATGCCCACGGCTACTGAAGCACAAGAACAAAGGAATCCGAGCAAGGGGGAATGAAGAACATATCAGAACTACCCGCTTATCTTTCTCACCTCTGTTTCAATAAACACGTTTATTAACAAGTCGAGTTTGAAATAAATTTTGTTTGACTTACAAATCTTGTGAACCATTTCGAATCGGTGACTTATTGAGCTAAACTTGTAAACTAGATCGTTTTAAGTTATGGCCTATAAATTGCTCGAAAGAATATTTGTCAGTTTATAGGGCCCGAAAGAATATTTGTCTGACTATATGGGCTGGTAGCCAGGATCTGAACGGTCCAATAACGTTATGAAGTTGTACGGCCCAATTGTGTCGCCCGTTACCCGCCAACGCGAGCCCGGGTTTCTCTCTCCACTTGCTGGTTGCTTTCCTTGCTTGACCATTCCTTTCTCATGGTTTTTAAAGATTGAACACACTTTTTATTAATTCCGTTTTGGTGAGAAAATCCAATTCTTATTCTGCTTACGCTTCCATTATTATAGACGGAAGAGTCAGATCGCGTAGCCTCTCTCTCGCTGTCGCCTCAACGCGATTACTCATTCGGCTTGTTGCTCTCTTTTGCTCGTCCGCAGCAGTTTTCGATCCTTACCTCTAATCGAGCTCGCCTCTCTTCTGCGATTCGTACTCTCTGGTTTCAATCCTTCAATCCCTAGCTCTAAGGTTCGATCCGAAATTTCCAATCTTTGCGCTTCTACTAATGATTTGCACAATCTGGGTTGTGATGCTTTTTGTTCTGATGATTTGCATAAAATTATATATACCCTTTGTGGCGGTCGTTCTCATGTTGGTTTGCCTTTCATTTGTGGTGCTGTAAATGATGGTTGATTGAATTTTGCTGAATTTGGGTATCTTGTTGAAGTAGGAGGAGGAGGAGAAAAGGAGGAGGGGATGGGAGCATTCGTGTCTAGGTTTTGGTTCATGTTGTTTCCTGCAAAGGAGTACAAGATTGTGGTGGTTGGGTTGGATAATGCAGGGAAGACCACCACCCTTTACAAATTGCACTTGGGTGAGGTCGTGACTACTCACCCTACCGTTGGTAGTAATGTGGAGGAGGTTGTCTACAAGAATATACGTTTCGAGGTTAGCAAATTTGTTCAACATTTCTGCTTTCTTTTTTGTGCCTATTGTTGTGGTCGGTGAATGGCTACATGGATGACTATTGGTATATGTTTGTTGAAGAACTATTCTTCTGTTTAAGGCTGTGCCTAGAAAGTGAATGTTATGCTTGGACATTTGGGTTTGGGAGACTGAATGGAAATGTAATTGTCTGAATGAGGAATTCATCTAGTTGCTGTTTTGTAATTGCACATACAAGGAAGTGTTCTGGTTGAAGTGAATTGTAGACTTAATACTTTTTCGGTGATAGGATTTGCAGAACTGTATAATTGTGTGCATAGGTCTTCTGGTTGGCCTTAGTTTGTTGAGCTTGTGACAATTTTCTCTAGGGGAGACCCAGTATCCTAGAACTAGAAATGAAACATGGTCTACTTCCTTATATATCTATCAACCTTCTTCCAAATGGTCTTATTGTTTTCCTAGCTCAATTAACTGCTTGTAGTTCCTCACATTGTACTCTTCGATTTCGCAGCCCATATGAGATCTAATATGCTATGCCTTCCTATTTCACATAGTAGAGAGGGGTTCTAATGAACCTAAAAAACATACTCCGCACTAGGCTCTTGCCATCATGAGTTAGGGGAAACAGGAGGGCCATTGGATGCCTGTTCTGTGTTTTCGTACTTTTTATTAGTTTTTGTAAAGCAACCTATTAAAGCAGATTAAGAGCTTCCTCATTTACATGTAGCTTTCCCTGGATGTTCCTAAAGTTTCAGTCGGGTTCAACTAGTATGTTTTGAGAACATTGAGAAGTGAGAACTTTTCATTCTTGCCTTTGGACCTTTATCAAACTGCAAGATGCAAGGATCTTGAAACATGCCTCCTAGTCTTCTAAGCCAGGCCCATCAACATGGAGGTATTGGTGAACTTCTTTTGTTGGCCTTAGGTCTGCTTTTCGTGGTTTCCTTGTCCTACTTCTATTCTAGTCCTATTAGTCAGATATGCTGCCTGTAGACTAATTCCTTATGCAAGAAAAATGTGATAAAAAGATGGACTTTGTTCTGTGATAGCTTGAATTGTTAGTTAATTGCAGGCCCTCTATTCTATGTGATCCTTGTTTCCACGTTTTTGGAGAGAGAGAGTGAGAGCATCACACTATCTTCGGTTTTTAAGTCCCATGTTTTCTACATAGCAATCAATTACATGAAGTAGGTTATCTTATTAATCAGGTCGTCATGATTTCTGATGGTTAGTGATGGTTTTAGTAATACGAGGAGTACATTGTTTTCTGATGGAGACAGGTATGGGACCTCGGAGGACAAGAGAGGCTAAGGGCATCTTGGGCAACATATTACCGAGGAACTCATGCCATAATCGCAGTCATAGACAGCACCGATAGAGCAAGGATTTCAATCATGAAAGAAGAACTTTTCCGGCTGCTGGGCCATGACGATTTGCAGCAGTCTGTTGTGCTCGTATTTGCAAACAAACAAGATCTGAAAGACGCCATGACTCCTGCTGAGATAACAGATGCTCTTTCGCTCCATAGCATCAAGAATCAAGACTGGCACATCCAAGCGTGTTGTGCCCTCACAGGTGATGGCTTGTACGATGGCCTTGGATGGATTGCTCAGCGGGTTACTGGCAAGGCACCAAGTTAGATGATGAAAATAATGTTAAGGAGTTGCCCCGGATTGTGTACACCATCTCTGATTGTATTTGATATTTGTGCTTAAAACGACTCTCAAAATCATAATCATGGTTTTATTGTTTGGCGCAATGAAAGCATTTGGTTAAAGATCTGCTATGAAAAAATTATGCACAAGAAGTATAACATCAAACGACTCTCTGAACAACTCTGTAAAATTCCTTTAGATCCTCTACCAACAATTAAGAATCGAAGTCCAGAGAGTCTGGAATCAGCAATGTGGCAGTGGGAGTCAGAGAATCCAGCACTTGCAGCCTTTGGATTCTGGGGGACCTTCGAACCATCGATCCCATGATGGGTTTATGGGACCATTCGTTCTGTTAAACACAACATATTGTTATTACTTAGAAACAAGCAGAGTAAAGAGGCAAAACAAAAGGTGAGGATTTGGTATTTACGTTTGCAACAGGGGATCAGGCCTGCTCTCTACATTGCTCAGCAATCTAACGTAAGAACAAGGAAACTACAGTTAGCTTACTGGATAAATTGCAGTCCAATAGAAGGAAGGATTATCTGCAAATAAAACCAATAAGGTGCACTCAAGAGGTTCAAGCTTACTCCTTGCATGAAGCTGATGCTTTCCCTATCTTATCAAGCAGTTCCAGCTCTTCCTGTAAATATGTCGGAAAAAATCCCAGAATACGCTAGTTATTAAAAAAAATTCCCTAAATACAGTACTTATAAAACTAATTCCCAAAATACAGCAGTTTCAACATCACTGTCTTTGTCTAAGACAGTGATGTTGATCACCGCTTTTGTCCAAAGCAGTGAAGCAGCGGGGTACGCATCACCGCCTTGGACAAAAGCGGGGAATGCATCATCGCTGTGGTCAAAAGCGGTGATACGTTCCCCGCTTTGGACATCAACAGTGAAGCCATCACCGCTGTTGTCCACAGCAGTGATTGCCCCCACGTTTTACACAGCCCTGGTAGGTGGACAGGTAGGTAACAGCTACCTAGCCATCACCGCTGTTGACTAAGGCGATGATGGTTCACCGCCTTTGTCCAAAGCGGTGATTGCCTCCAATTTTTCCTATAAAAAGCCACGCCCCCTCTTCCCTCCTGCTGCCAAACACTCCTGCTGCCAAACAGAAAATTAGTACCAAAATTATCGTTTTCGCAGCTGGTTCCTCCGTAGTTTACTGCTCAAGAAACTCGTCGGGATTCGGTATGTTAGAATTATGTATTGTTTACATTTTGATTATGTGCTAGAATTAGGTATGTTAGAATTATATATTTAGATTAATGATATATGTTAGTTAGTTAGTACTGAATTTAGATTAATTTGTTTAGTTATCATGATAGATCGGGATTGAGTATGTTATAAGTATGTATTTTTTACATGTTGATGTGTTAGTAATTATACTGTTTGTATTTAGTGAATTGCGGTTATTGGAAAATATGTTATGATATTATTTAGTTTAATTATGATATGATAGATGTTAGTTAGCTAGTTATGAATTTAGATGAATTTGTTTAGTTTTCTCATAATAGATAAATTAGTTGCATTTTATTATCGCTTTGGATGATATTGTTTTTGTATCCATAATGTACTAATTATATACTATACTTAATTATTATAAATTGCAGACATGGGTAAATTTAAGAAGTTTCGGCTTATTATTTATTGGAATGGTCGGGTGACAAACTCGAACATTGGGATCGACTATGAAGATGGCGAATCCAGTTCGCTTACAATTGAGTCGAGATTCTCGTGGCAAGAACTCCATGACAGGTGTGCAGAAAGGACTTGTACGGGCGGGCAAATGAGAGTTCGTCAAATTACTTACCGGTATCCCAACATGAGTGCTGACGGAGTCATGTACGAAAGAGTTGACATAAATGACGATGACGACGCGAACATGATGACACAGTTCATATCTGAGAACGGGGTGCGGCTTGCAGAGGTGTATGTCGAGACCGAGCCGGTCAGTGAAACTCATTCTCACCAGTATTCTTATGATGATGGTTTTGCAGGAGGGTATGGCTGGGGTGGTAGTTCAAGTAACTACGGAGCAGGTTCTTCTGCCGGAGGGTATGGTTGGGGAGGTACTTCAAGCAACTACGGAGGAGGTAGTTCTGAAGGAGCTGTTGGGTGGGAAGAATACCTGCCACATGGTGGTGAGACTGCCGTCGATATCGTTCAGCCCGACGGTGATCAATGGCCTGCTTGGGGTCCAGAGTGGGGTGACATTGAAAACACCCTTCGAACTGGGCGTACTTCGCATGACCAAGAAGGCGATGCTGGTTATGCTGCTAAAGATGACCCTCCTTCGCCGAGCTATCCATTCGCCTCCAGTGACGATGAAAGTGAGGAAGATTTGAGATCAGTCAGTGAGGAGGAAGATGCGGACGATAACGACGATATCGATGACAGTGAGGTGGCGTTCCGCCAGGCACCAACGCCTTACTACACAGAGGTTCCTGATCAATTTTTATATGGTCAGAACGATGCCCCTGACTATCGGCCCATGCCTGTGTATAATCCGACTGCTAATTTGGAAGTGGGTATGGCGTTCACTTCAAAAGCCGATGTGCAAGACGCTTTTAGCGAAGAAGCCATGCGGCGTAATTTCGAATGGAAGGTAAAATATTCTGACAAGGGACAACTGCATGTCATTTGTAAGAATGCTGGAGAGGGTTGTATGTGGCAACTTCGTGCTGCATATATGAAGAGAAAGGGGGTCTGGGTCATGCGGACAGCAGAGAACAACCACAGTTGCTCCTCAACCATACTTTCACAGGATCACCGGCAACTGAAAGCAAAAAAAGTGGCAAGAACCATTAAGCACCTTATCGAGGCACAACCAGATATCAAGATAAAAGCTATCATGGCGGAGGTGAAGGATCGACACTCCTACACCATAAGGTATAAGAAGGCGTGGCATGGGAAGCAGAAGGCCATGGCTGATGTCTACGGTGATTGGGATGACTCGTATGCTTTACTCCCCAGACTAATGTCCGCAATGGAGGAGTCCAACCCTGGGACGGTTTCCGTGCCTTGGTACAACAACGTAGAAACTGAAGATCAAGTTCGAGTACAGAACGAGTTGATGTTTCATCGTCTGTTCTGGACATTCAAGCCATGCATTGACGGGTTTCCCTTCTGCATGCCAGTGATTCAGGTATATTACGGACTCAAAATATTGTACTACTTCATTACTTTACTAATTTCAATTTTTACTAACTCAGTATTCATTTTAACAGGTTGATGGAACTTTCCTTACTGGGAAGTATAAAGGAACTCTTCTTATTGCCACTGGGGTTGATGGAAATTTAAGTATTTTTCCCTTAGCATTTGCATTAGTTGAAGGGGAGAACAACCTAAGTTGGGCATGGTTCTTTGACCAGCTACACGCCCACGTCACACAAAGAATGGGTATTACAATTATATCGGATCGACATGCCGGGATTAAACACGCCGTCCGTGGTTTCCCGGACGAATGGGGATGGACATGGCGTTGGTGTATTCGTCACTTCCTAGCCAATTTCCAACACAAATTTGGCAAGAAGAAAGACATCAGAGATCAATTATGGAGTGCAGGTAATAATGTAATTCAGTGCTTGTTCAAGGTTTATTGTTCAAATGACAATTCTTATGGATTAATTATTAATTCTCCGGTCTTGTAGCGGTTGCACATCAACCAAAAAAGTACGAGCAGAAGATGAAGACGATCCGTCAAATACACCGGGCGGGAGCAGTATGGGCAGAAGGTCAAGATCTGCACATGTGGACATTTCACATGGACAACGGGGCTAGATTCGGAATTGCAACTACCAACCATGGGGAGAGCATAAATGGAGTCTACAAGGGCATTAGGGCAATGCCTGTATCTGTCCTAGTGGAGATGACATACTGGAAGGTAAACGAGTGGTTTGTGAAGAGACGGGATGCTGCTATAGGGAGGGAGCGTGCTGGTCATTCAATAGCTAAGCATATATTTGACGGCATGCAGAAGATCGAAGAGAAATCAAGTAAGCACAGAGTTGTTCTGTTCAACCGCAATGAGGGTATTTTTGCTGTGCAAACAGGTATCTGGGGTGGAGGAAGACGTGGGCATAATCGTCAATCCGTAACTCTACACGTAGAAACTCGCACCGGAGAGTGTACATGCCAAAAGTATCAAAACAGAAGAGTACCTTGTTCACATGCAATGGCAGTAGCTAAGTCGATAACCCTCAGCGCTTACAGTTTGGTTAGTCCTTACTACACGGAACAGGCGATCAGGAACTCCTACTCGTCAAGTTTTAGCCCCCTGCCGGATGAAGCTTATTGGCCTGTAGACAATGGGAAGTTGATTATCCCACCGTTACACTTAAAGCGCACCAAAGGTCGTCCTAGGACCGAAAGGATTCACAATGAAATGGACCAATCACAACGTGCCCGACGGGGTCCAAAGCGTTGCTCAAAGTGCAGACAACCGGGTCATGACAAGAGGCGTTGCCCAGGTCCACCTCTAGAGCAAGATTCGGCGCCAATTCCGAACCTACCTTGATGTTGTTGTTGTTCACTTCCTTGTTTTAATCTTGTTGAGTAGTTTTCGTTGTTGTGATGTTTAATTTGGACTTCTTGTTTTAATCTTGTTGAGTGATTGTAATAAAGGGCGTTTGTTGTTCATTTTGGTACAACATGGGGGTAAAAACCAACAAAATTTAGCCGACAGATAGTTAATGGAAAACAACACAATCCGAAACCAAATTTAGAAACATAGATAGTTCATGGAAAACAACACAAGCCCCAAACCAAATTTAGACGACATGGATAGTTCATGGAAAACAAAAAAAGATGGAACTAAATTAGAACGACATAGATAGTTCACTGGTTGTCTTCATTTCCCTCCACTTCCCCTTCTCTTCCTCTTCCTCTTCCTCCACGACCTCCTCGGCCCCTTCTTCCGCCCTCTCTACCTCCTCCTCCTTCTTCACGAGCCCGCTGGACAACTGCGCGCGGATTCCTCTTAACCCGACCACCCACCGGAGTGTAGACAGGTGGTGGGGGTGGAGGTTGCTGAGTTGGACCAGAAGTGTGGTAGAAAGTCGATGATGTATGTTGCTGTTGCGGGGTCTGATACTGAGTAGTTTGTTGCTGATGGTGGAACTGAGGGGTGGCTTGGGTGAACATGTCATGCTCCATCGTCGGGGCATAGCTTGACGACCCTCCGGTTCCCTCAGTACTAGTAGCCCACTCACAATGTGGCCATGGTTGAGGAAGTTGAGTTTGCTGAGACGGACGAAGCTCATCAATGTGTTCTCTCACCCTTCTTCTGCTCCTCCGTGGGGGCTCTTCTGGGGGCACAATCCTCTCATCAGCACGGAATGAAGGTCGGGCCGGAGCAGGCACTGGAGGGTATAATATGACATCCCTCCTTTGCTCTCTGGTACAACAGAGCAAGTTGTTGAAAAGCCTGCGCAAAAAAGATGTCTTCCGCTCATCCATGGTGGGTGCACTCTCGACGGTGTGCTTCGCATGCTCCAAACCGTCAACCTAATAAATTGTTTTACAAAATTAACTAATAGTAAATCTAATAATGATTTCTATCATCTAATATAGGCATGTAATCATACTACAAAAATTAACTAAAATTAACTCTAATAATGTTAATTAACATTCTAGCAAATATAGGCATGTAATTATACTACAAAAATTAACTAACATTAAATCTAATAATGTTAATTAACATTCTAGCAAATATAGGCATGTAATTATACTACAAAAATTAACTAAAATAGGCCAAAATGGAATTCACTTACCACTGCGCCCCAAACAGCACCTTGCTTTGACACCCATCTTAGCGTGAAGTGCCGATACCACCGCATGTAGCCATCGTGGTACCCCATTGGCCTTGTCTCCGGCGCCCCTTGGACCACCCACTGATTTCTATTCTCCCATATGTTGATGTAGAATTCATGTTTGCGGGTCCAATCCTTTTTGTTGTAGCGTAGGTCAATGGCGTGGAGCTCCCTGAACCCTTGAGGTGGGGATGCTGGAATTGGTTGCTCCAATCGATATTGCCTCAAAGATCGATCGGGCAGGTGCCACTCCACCATGTGCCAGCAGATTAAGGGCACCTTGCACAACCATGTCTCTTGATCCTCGGGATGTCTAAGACGATGCAACTCAACCACTTCATTTGGATATGGATCCCATACCGCCTACAATCATTACAATTCACGTAATTAGTAAAAATTATATCCACTCCACCTAATAAATTTAAAATCATGACATTCAATATTTTTACCTGGTTCCACCAAGGCTTATCAAATTCAGCACGATAAAACAGTAAAGAGTGCTCGGCCTGGTGGTCGTTAGTATTTGCTCCGATCCACCTAATTAAGCAAAAGTACATATATAAGCAATTTTTAAATTAGCTAAATACGATTTGGTTAGAATAAATCCAAATTCACTTACTTGGAAGATATCTAAATTCACTAAAATACTAGAATTGCAGACCTAAAATGTCTCTAAATTCGCTTAGTTGGAAGATAGCTAAGTTCACTAAAATACTATAATTGCATACTTAAAATTGCATACTAAGTTCACTAAGTTCACTAAAATCTAAATTCACCTAACTAGCTACCATTGCATATCTAAAATAAATTCAACTTAAATTGAACTTACTTGAAACCATATGGGGGATTTGCTACAAATCGTAGCTCATCATCTGGCAACCAGAATTCCCGAGGGTCTTGAGGTGCGAGAAACGGAAGATGCTCCCATGCCCAGAGTTGAAGTATGAACATCGCACCACCAGCTTGTTTCGCTCCCAACCTCGAGCAAGTACACAACTCTCGGTAGATTCCAGCCAAGACGGCCGACCCCCAACTTTTTCTCCCGATCTCGTCCCAGTCACCGAGGAGCATAGGGAACCACATGCCTTGTATCCACTTATTTGACTTGTCGGGGAACAGAAACCCACCAACCAAGGCAATTAGGTATACACGTGCATACCGCTCCACCTGATCTTCAGGAGTATCCAGGCCTATATTAACCTCCAATTGGATGTGGTCAACAAGCCACGGGATCGATACTTGCCCCGCATTCAGTGGTGGATGCCCAACCCCTTCGACGGGCGTGGTGGTCGGCATGTTGAACCCCAGACGTTCCTGAATCAATGGCCCCCAACCATCTTCTGGTTTTCTCGAGCTGTCGATGATGGCATCTCCGGTGATCGGGAGCCCGGTGAGGATGGCAACATCTTTGAGGGTGATCGTCATTTCACCCTCGGGAAAGTGGAAGGTATGCAGCTCAGGGCGCCATCGCTCTGTCATTGCCGTCAGCAGATCGTTGTCAATATCTAGCCTCATAAAGTGCCTCAAATTGTGCAATCCCGCCCTCTCTAGATAGGGATGCAGTCGAGGATGCCAACGGGGCAATCGACATGTACCTCGATGACTGATGGGAATAAGTGATTCCTACAAAACAAAAAACACAATATTGTCAGTCAATAGAAAGCAAAATAAAAACTTAGAAAGCAAAATAAAAACTTTAAAACTATTGAAATAATTGTAGTGTATCTACCGGATTATTGTTCCAAATTGAACGAGAGCGATGTTGATCTTGCCCGGTTAAATACCTTCGATCCCTTGGGCCAGGATCGATATACAATCTAGGGTCGTATATCTCAGCACCCATCTATAAAAAAATATGAAATCAAATCAATTTAAATTTTAGCACCCATGTAAAAAAAAATGCACAAAAGAATTAAATAAATTTACGTACTCTCAAAGCCTCTTCGTCCATTTTTTGCCGAAAAGCTAGCGAGAGTATCGACAAAACAACAAAACAAAAACTCTAGTAATTCTTTCTGATGCGGAAGATCGGACTTAGCCGCAACCACAGAGCATACTTAGAACGAAACTAGAGTGAAAAATGGAGGGAGAAAGAAGTATGAAGTGGTGGTGTGGTTTGGAATGAGAGGGGGGATGGGTAATTTATAGGGTTTGGGGCTGGGAAAAAACCTGGCCAGTTATCACCGCCCCAAACAAACACAGCGCCATCACCGCCTTTGTTGGACGCGGTGATGTGCAGGGATCGCTGACGTGGCCTCTCCTGATGCGTCGGATTGTGGAGAAAAACCACAATCCGCGCATAACTGCATCCGACGGCAGCGGTGAAGGCGCGGGGTGGGGGGCGGATCGCTGACGTGGAAAGCGGGGCTATCACCGCTTTGGTCTTCAGCGGTGAAGTGCCCGCGCGCGTCCACGTCAGCGATCCGCGCCCCTTCACCGCTGTTGGATCCAACGGTGAAGGCTTCACTGCCTGCCACATCAACGGTGATGCCATCACTGTCGTCCTTGACAGCGATGATGGCATCACTGCTTTGGTTTAAAGCGGTGATAACATCACTGCTTTAGTCTAAAGCGGTGATGTATCATCGTTTTAGACCAAAACGGTGATCAACATCACTGTCTTAGACAAAGACAGTGATGTTGAAACTGCTGTATTTTGGGAATTAGTTTTATAAGTACTGTATTTTGGTAATTTTTTTTAATAATTGGTATATTCTGGGATTTTTTCCAAATATGTCGGATGGAGAACAATCAGTAGGCATCATTCTGAGTTATAGTCAGACAAATTTGTATCTTTTGGATAGTTCAGTCACCACAAAAGCAATGAAATAACAACATTTAGAACTGACTGAGAAACTCGTCTGCAGTCCTTAATAATTTGACTTTGCAAAGTTCCCTCACACATGCAAGCGAGCATATAACTAGCAGCTGAAAACCCTACAAGCAACCAACGTCTTCACCTTCAAATACAACTTCCTCAGCACATACTCAACAGCCAGCCTAACACACCTCTTTGCTTGAAAAAACAAGCAGAGCCAATTTCTAATTACGGCCACTGATATACCGGTCAATCAGACACTCCTAACCTTCAAATAGTACAATAGATTTTTCATACCAATACATCCCCCACCTTTGACACCTAAGTATTCCTGCTCATTGCATATAAATTGTTCACAGCTCTGAAGCTGTAACATTACCATTACAAAGAACCATCCTATGGCGTCCCGAGAAACTTCAAGACATCTAGTTACGCTGAATTGTCCATCTTGCAAGACCTTTCTCTGATTACTGAGGGCAGACTGTACTTTCCATTCAAGGAACCATCATCCCAATGAATAGGTCAGATGATTTCTGCAGATATGCAAGTTAATATCTCGAGGATTGACAATCAAGCATTAAACCTAAACAGCTGCAGAAAGTAGCCAATTAGGCACACTATTCCAGTTGTTTTGAATTTCCAAGCTCTTTTTCCCCATCCCGAAAACAATACTCCATTCATCTATTGGTACAGAAGAGAAAAGGCCAAAATCACCATTCCCTAATCATCGCTCTGGCTCAGCTAGCATTCCTTTCAGCTATAGCTCAAAGTCAAAAGCTTGACCCAATCAACAACGTTAAGCAGAGCGAGCAATTTACACATTCAGACCAAAAGCCAAAATCAATCCAATTATAGCAGAAAGAAAGCTGACTGACCTCTAAGAATCTTGATTCTTGCTCGAGCCGCTTGACCTCGGCAAGTATCCTATGCTTTCCCCCGATATCAGCCGTTGCGGTGACGGAGAGAAGCCGCTGAGCAATCGGGCCGGAGGAATCCGACCTATCCGATTGCATCTCTTTACTTTACAGAAGATAGATAAGAAAGGAGAAAGCCCAAATTAAAAAAGAAAAGGCGCAATCTTTTGTATTGCTCAATAGCAGAAAAAGAGCTCCCGGCTTTCTTAACAGAGGAAAGCGAAAAGTTTTGTTTTCCCCAGTGTATCAGAGTATAGACGCCATTAGACATGAAAAGAACGGTGACCCAGAAATCTCCATCGACCCCATGCAATTGGGTGCGCAATAAGATGAGGGAAGGGAAATCGGAAGCAAATGAAGAGAAGAAAACTCAGTGAAGGAAGCTGCTGCCTGTGCCTGGTTATTTGTGCTTTGTTAGTTGATTTCTCTTCTGTATTTCTGATTAGGAAGGGAAGGGATGGAATAATGGTGGGGAAAGAAGGTGGAAGGAAGGCAGAAGGGAAAAGGACAGACCCCTAGAAAAGGAAAAAAACAATTTTTTTCTTGAAAAAGAAAGAGAGAATTTGCAGGTTGGTTTGATTGCTAACTGTGCTAGAGTCGTTTCTGTGTGTACTTGCTTCAACTTTTTCGGTTTTTCCCCGTGTTTCGGCTTTGTCCTTCCATTTTCCGTTTATTCTATGAAATTTGTCTCATTTCCACCGGTCCCTTTCCATTATTTTACTCGGTAACAATTTCACCATCTCCGTTCCACCTCCACGCGCTATAAATTGTATAATGACCAACCTAATTGTAATTGAGACGTGTAGCTTATTAACTTGTTATCAAAATCGCGCTTTCAAATTAAAAAACTTACGATTTTACCTTTTTAGGTCATCAATGTTAGGGTTACGAAATGGTGCGGTCTGGTCGGTCTATGGTCCAGATCGAGAGGCTAAAATATAGATCACAGTCCAGACCACAGACTATACGGTCTGGTCCAGACCACGCTTGTGCGGTCTGGTTCGGTCTGGTCTGGTCCACATAGACCACACTCAATGAAAAATGAATAATTTGTTTAGTCAACCACACAAAAAATTGAACCAATAACCAGGAAAAATAATTGTTATTTGCCTTAAATCATTAATCCTAACATGCATGAATAATTTTGATACTCTAAATCTTAGTACATAACAAAGATACAAAGTAAAAGCATCCCAACTTGCACCATAACGTCATAAACATTAACATAATGTCATATGGAGACACGATTATCTCTACTCTCTGGTTAAATGTGGTTGTGAATGAAGGAGGGACGAGATTCACAAAGCTAAGGTTCAGACTTGGGTGTCGTTGTAGGAGTTGGGAGAGTGGTCGAATGGGCTGTTAACACGTATTGACAAGTCAGTTGGGTCCACGGTTTGGTCCGGTAAACCGCGGTCTAGACCAGACCAGACCGAGAGATCAAAACATAAGATAATACAGACCATGGACCATACCAGACCATACTTAACGGTCTACGGTCCGGACCAAACTGTGCGGTACGGTTTGGACCACGGTTTTTCTAACGGTCTGGTCTATTTTTCCAGCCCTAAAGTGTACTTCTACGCACAATCATCATTTTTATAACTTTTTTTTTTTGACAAGAATCATCATTTTTATAACTAATGTAGTTAAAAATTGTGTTTTAAAGCTGAAAAAATTACGATTTTACGTTAAATCACCAAAACGTTTCTACATAGAAACACATTTTTTACTACATTGCTAGCATGCTCTAATTCCAACCACCAAAGCTTTTATCTCAAACATGCTTCCAAGTTATGTATCAATATGATGTTGTCTTGATGCTCAAAATATCTCTACTAAGGTCCTGCATGTATCCTTCTGATGTGTGGTTGATTTTCTTAACACTTTTAGGCATTCTGGATGTATTGAAAGAGAACTAGTCATAATTGTCGCCTCATGGGGGTTCATGCAACAAGATTATTTGGAATTTTAATGATATATAGGACATTATGCGATATTGATATCTATCACTTCTATCAAAACAACGTCAATGTTCTCGTCCCAAATTTGTCACCATGTGATTTGAAGCAATATTAGTGATGGCGTGTGTGAGACCGACTAGGGGTGTTCAAATGGTTATCATGGTTATTATCAAATCAAATAAGACTAAATTTCATTAATCATGGAATACAATATCATAACCAAGCCGTCCAAACTAATACAACAACCAAATTAACCAAACTAAAATTTAATCGGTTTGGTTAATTGGTTAAACATATTAACCAATATAAAATCATATTATCATTAAGTGAGAAAATTTTCGGTTAATTTATCAATTCACAATTTATATAATGAATAAAATATAACAATCAACACATAGTTATAGTTGACCCTTAACATAAATACCTGCAACTAAGACAATTATATTACGGTTAGTATAGAAGTATTCACCTAACAAAAATTTATCACAATGGTATGGTTAATGAATTGTTGTGTTTGTTTGAATTGACTTAGTCTTTTAGCAATTTTCATAGGCTGAAAAGGATCTTGCTTTCAAGTTTTCATCCAACATAATGTATGAGATTTATCTAAATTAGGCGTTCATATGTTGTGGTCTACACTCTACATATACAAATATACATTATATGAACAATTTTAAGCTTTATATTTTATGAGTCTAAAAGGATGAACGTTTAACTCTTGAGTGGTTATTCAAAATATTAAGTATGTGTATATATTATATATATGGCTAATTATTTATCTGGTTAATTTGGTTTGGCTGGTTAAGAGTGTCCGAAACCAAACCAAACCACCTAAACCAAACAAGCTAAAAACTTTAACCAAACCAAACCAATTAACCAAACCAAATTATCCAAATAGTACTGGTTAAAACGGTTGCCATGGTAACCAGACCGTTTGAACACCCCTACCGACTAAGATTCCCATCGGTTTAACCATTCGACGAAGGTTACTTCAATTTTGTACATGTGTGCAATAGTCTGATTCGATATGAAGCGGATTAAGCAATGAGAATCACAATATTCATTACCTTCCTCATACAAGTTTTATCTTGGCTACTCTTGGCTCCCGTCCTTTGTGGGCATGGCAAAGTATCTTGGAAGGACGTAATCATATAGTACAAGGTCGAGGTGGCTTATTGGTTCAAGTACTTGCGTCCACATTACTAATGGTGTGTGGCTAGTGGCTACCCGACTCCACCATCTCCCCTGCACGCTTGTGAGTTATCTCGACTTGGGGACTTGTTGATAGGGGCGGAGCACGTTGGAGCTCGAGGGCCCCCCCGGCCCCCTCCCCCCCCCCCCCCCCCCCCAGAATTTTGAAGATCCCTTGTATATACGTCGAGAATTTTGGAAATTACGTATAAGTTACATTAGTTTTATTAATATATAAAGCGTCGATTAGTAACAATGAAATTGCTTCTAATCTAGCGGAGGAATTGCTTCCATTGAGTCCCGGATCAGGGTTTGATTCCTTGTGCTAGTAGTATATATTTTGTTTTCAACTTTTTAGTTCAATTCCTTCTTTTTAAAGATTTTTTTTAGTTCAATCCCTTCTTTTTAAAGATTTTTAGTTCAATTCACTATGAAAGTGATTTCCATTTAAGTTTTATCTTGAGTTTATAATTCATATTTTAAGAATTTTGAATTTATGTAGATTAAACTTTTCTCAAAATTCTTGTATTCTCATATATTCATTTTTAAGTTGCAATAAGAGTACAGGCATGACACAATTGAAAAAATTACTTTTTTTGTTGGTAATTCAATTATTTATCTTGAACATATTGTACTAGAAATTTTAGTTTGGATCATATCTTTAGTTTTTTTAATTATCTCAAATGTATTTTTCGACGATTATGACAAATAGCTAATTTTATCCTTCTATATAATGAATTATCTTTTCTTAACATCGGATGATAATACGCAAAAAAAAAAGTTGCCCCCCCCCCCCCTCGGACTTGCAAATCCTGGCTCCGCCCCTACTTGTTGAGCTAAATTTTCGAGTTTGGTTGTTTTGAGCAATGAGTTGACTCGAAAGTATGCCTAGTGAGCCACATCACCTAATAATTTATGAGCAAATCGGTTAATAGCTTATCATTGAATTGCTCTTAATTTATATGTTTGTTAGATTATATATGATTTTTAAGAATTTGAGGACGTGATTAAATATCGCATTTAAAATTATAATATAAAAAAGAAATTATGTATTATAATTTATTCAGATACCAATTACTATTAAATAACATGGTATCAACAATTAAGAATTATGAACCAAATGATAAGATAGTTTAGCTCAAGCCAATCTTGCAAACTAATTGATGAATCGAGCTCAAGTCAAACATAAAGCAAAATTTTAGTAGACAAAGGCATCCATGAGTGTTGGGGACAAAGTCTCCCGTTGTTGTGTCTTGTACAGGTGGTCTTCAGGTTTAGTAGACCTCGTTGTCATAAAGTGGCAAGTGGGATTGAGGTTACTGAGTTATAAAAGAAAAATTTAGTAGACAAAACTAACTTGAAATTTACTTGTTTATTAAGGTGCCGACCCCAAATTAAATCAAAACTCTGTTCAACTCGACATATTTACAGCCCTATCCACAGTCCACACGTGTATTCCTATCTCACCTTTGTCCGTTTATATGGGCCCGAAAGAATATTCGTCGGGGAGGATGGGCCGGTAGCCCAGGGCATGAACGATCCAATAACGCTATGAAGTTGTACGGCCCAGTTGAGTCTCCCGTTACCCGCCAACGCGAGCCCGAGTTCTCCCTCCACTGCTTTCCTTGCACAACCATTCCTTTCCTTCCTGCCTGCCTCTGGGGCAGATGAGGTTAGTAACCCATATGGTGAGTAACCATCAGTAACCTGTCCACATCCGCATGACATCAGCATGTCCTCTCTCCTAAAAAGTCTTTTATATTTTCCCCTTTAATCTTTAATTGACGATTTCTCTATCGTTTTAGGTCGAAATTTAATTTTTTTTTGCACAGATAAATCAGATTAAATGTGCTCTTTAAAATGATATCCACTTTGCTATATTTTTAGTACAAAAAAATTTGAATAATTTTTTACCAGTCATTACCACATGGTATGCTCATATTTAATACCATATGGTAAGAAAGCGTACCATGATGGTATGAACATACCAATATGGTAAGAATGTTGAATACATGATAGTAGGAGTATACTAACTGTCATTTACGACTTTCATCATTGTTTACCATAAGTTACCAGCCACATACCATAGTGGTAAAGTATGATAACTTTTTGTCCAGTTTTTTTTTCACCCAGAAATTTGTAGATCCAATAGATCATGATGAACTCGTACATTCTGAGCAAACGTTTTCAAAAACGACTTAAAAACGAAGAAGTTACCATATGGTATGTAGTTGGTAAAAAAAGTTTCTCGAAATATATTGAAAATTGATCTCATTATGTAGAGCACAACGAACTCGTTCCATGTGTGAAAAAAAATTGAAATTCAAGTTAAAACGAAGAAGACAAGAGCTAATTATGAAAACTAAGAAAAATAAAATATCTTTAATTGACAACCCTTAGATCTGGATTTTCTGAACTATCTAAATTCATATGTAAATATCCTATCCTAGGCCACTGCTATGGATTTTAAAGATTGAAAACTTATTAATTCAGTGCGGGTGAGGAAATCCATATTCTTATTTCTTATTCTACTTACGCTTCCATTATTATAGTTGAAGGAAGAGTCAGATCGCATAGCATCTCCCTCTCGCTGTTGCTCCAACGCGATTATTAATTCGGCTTGTTGCTCTCTTTCGCTCGTCCGCTGCAATTTTCGACCCTCATCTCCGATCGAGCTCGCCTCTCTTCTGCGATTCGTACTCTCTGATTTCAATCCTCCAATCCCTAGCTCTAAGGTTCGATACGAAATTTCCAATCTTTGCACGTCTCCTGATGATTTGCATAATCTGGGTTGTGATGCCTTTGGTCTGATGATCTGCATAATATATATTTATCCTTCGTGGGATTTGTGGCGGTCGTTCTCATGTGGGGTTGCCTTTCATTTGTAGTGGCTGGAATTGGTTGTTGATTGAATTTTGCTGAATTTGGGCAATTTGTTGAAGTAGTAGGAGGAGGAACAAAGAGAAGAGGGGATGGGAGCATTCGTGTCTAGATTTTGGTTCATGTTGTTTCCTGCAAAGGAATACAAGATTGTGGTGGTTGGGTTGGATAATGCAGGGAAGACCACCACTCTTTACAAATTGCACTTGGGTGAGGTCGTGACTACTCACCCTACCGTTGGTAGCAATGTGGAAGAGGTTGTCTACAAGAATATACGTTTTGAGGTTAGCATCTTTGCTCAAGCTTTCTTCTTTTCGTTTTGTGCCTAATGTTGTGGTCTGTGAATCGCTACATGGATGACTATTTGTTTATGTTTGTCGAAGAACTTTTCTTTTGTTCGAGGATGTGCCTAGAGAGTGAATGTTATTGTTAGGACATTTGCGTTGGGAAGACTACTGAATGGAAATGTAATTGCCTAGATGAAAAACGCATCTAGTGTAGTTTTGCAATTGCACATACAAGGAAGTGTTGTGGTTAAAGTGAACTGTAGACGTTAACTTTTTAGGCTGGTACGATTTGCAGAATGCTGTATAATTGTGTCTATAGGTCTTCTGCTTGCCCTTAGTTTGTTGAGCTTGTTACAATTTTCTCTAGGGGAGACCCAGTATCCTAGAAGTAGAAGTGAAACATGGTCTACTTCCTTAGATGTCAACTTTCTTCCAGATGGTCTTATTGTTTTTCTAGCTCAATTAACTGTTCGTAATTTCCCGGTGTACTCCTCGATTGGCAAGCCCATATGAGATCCGATATACTATACCTTCCAATTGCACATAGTAGATAGGGTTTCTAATGAACCTATAGAAACATAGTCCGCTCTGGGCTCTTGGCATCAGGAGTTACGGGAAACAGGGAGGAGTTAGGGGAGGCAGGGGGGGGGGGGCATTGGATGCTGTTCAGACTTCTGTACGTACCTGACATTAGTTTTGTTATATGCTACCCATTAAAGCAGATAACGAGCTTCCCCAATTTCATGTTGCTTTCCCCTAACTTTCAGTCGAGTTCAACTAGTATGTTAGAAGAAGTGTAAGAAGTTTTCCTTCTTGCACGTTGGACCTTTATCCAACTGCAAGATGCAAGGATCTTGAAACCTGCCTCCTAGTCTTCAATGCCAGGCCCATCAACATGGAGGCATTGGTGAACTACTCTAGCTGGCGTTAAGTCCGCTTTTTCCTACTTCTATTCTGGTCCTATTAGCATATATGCTGCCTGTAAACTAATTCCTTGTGCATGAAAAATGTAATAAAAATGGACTTTGTTGTATGATAACATTGATAGAGAGAGAGAGAGAGAGAGAGAGAGAGAGAGCATCACACTATCTTTGCTTCTAAGTCCATGTTTGTTTGGGCAATCATTGACATGAAGTTGGTTTATCTTATTTAATCATGTTATCATTATCATGATTTCTGATGGTTAGTGATGGTGTTAATAATGCGAGAAGTACACTGTTTTATGATGGAGGCAGGTATGGGACCTCGGAGGACAAGAGAGGCTAAGGGCATCATGGGCAACATATTACCGAGGAACTCATGCCATAATCGCAGTAATAGACAGCACCGATAGAGCAAGGATTTCCATCATGAAGGAAGAACTTTTCCGGCTGTTGGGCCATGACGAATTGCAGCAGTCTGTTGTGCTCGTGTTTGCAAATAAACAAGATCTGAAAGACGCCATGACTCCTGCTGAGATAACAGATGCTCTTTCGCTCCATAGCATCAAGAATCAAGATTGGCACATCCAAGCGTGTTGTGCCCTCACGGGTGATGGCTTGTACGATGGCCTTGGATGGATTGCTCAGAGGGTTACTGGCAAGGCGCCAAGTTAGAGGATTAAAATGTTGGAAGGAGTTACCCGGATTGTGTACACCATCTGATTGTATTTGATATTCGTGCTTTTAACGATTGGCAAACACATTCTCATGGTTTATTGTTTGGCGCAATGAAAGCATTTTGTTAAAGATCTGCTATGAAAAAATTATGCACAAGAAGCATTACATCAAACAAGTCTCTCTGAACAACTCTGTAAAATTCCTTTAGGTCCTCTACCAACAAATAAGAATCGAAGTCCAAAGAGTCTGGAATCAGCAATGTGGTAGTGGGGGGTCAGAGAATCCAGCACTTGCAGCCTTTGGATTCTGGGGGGCCTTCGAACCATCGATCCCATGATGGGTTTATGGGACCATTCGTTCTGTTAAACACAACAAATTGTTATTACTTAGAAACAAGCAAAGTAATGATCCAAAACAAAACTTTTCAACAAAAGGGTGAGGAATTGGTGTTTACGTTTGCAACAGAGGATCAGGTCTGCTCTCTACATTGCTCAGCAATCTAACGTAAGAACAAGAAACTACAGTTAGCTCACTGGAGAAATTGCAGTCCGATAAAAGGGTTATCTTTAAAATAAAACCAATAAGGTGCACTCAGAGTTTCAAACTTACTCCTTGCATGAAGCTGATGCTTTCCCTATCTTATCAAGCAGTTCAAGCTCTTCCTGTAGATATAGCAGATACAGAACAATTAGGCATAGTTTGAGTTATAGTCAGCCAAATTTCAAGCTTCTGTTTAGTACAGTGACCACAAATGCAACGAAATAACAACACTTAGAACAGACAAATGTCCAAAATTATTGGACCTATGGTATGAGAAACTCGTCTGCAACACTTAATAATTTGACTATGCAAAGATCCCTGACACATGGAAGCGACCATATAACTAGCAGCTGAAAACCATACGAGGAACCAAAGTTTTCATCTTCAAATACAACTTCCTGGACACATACTCAACAGCCAGCCTAACACACCTCTTTGCTTGAACAAACAAGTAGAACCAGTTTCCAATTACGACCACTGATTCACCAGTGGATTAAACACACTCCTAACCTTCGAATAACAGAGTTTTGAGACCAATCCATCCCCCGCTTTTGACACCAAAGAACCAATTATATTCCTGCCTATTGCATATTATTGTTCACAGCTCTGAAGCTATAACGTTACAATTACAAACAACCATCCTATGGCCTCCCGGGAAAACTTGAGGAGATCTATTTAAGCTGAATTGTTCATCTTGCAAGACCTTTCTCTGGTTATTGAGGGCAGTCTGTACTTTCAATTCAAGGAATCATTACCCCCAATGAACAGGTCAGATGATTTCTGTAGACATGCTAGTATGAACTTAAGATTGAGAATCAAGCATTCAACCTAAACAGCTGCAGAAAGGAGTTAATTGGGCACGCTACTCCACTTGTCTTGAATGAAATCCTAATCAACTCAGTCCCAGTTCCAAGCTCCATCTCCATAACAATGTTTCATTCATCCATTGGTACAGAAGAGAACAGGCCAAAATCAACATTCCCTGATCATCGTTCTGGCTCGGCTAGCATTACTTTTAGCTATAGCTTAAAGTCAAAAGCTTGACTCAATCTTAAGCAGAGCGAGCAATTCACACAGACAGTCTATCGGACTTGGGAAATAAGAACCAATCCAACAGAGAATCAGCCAAAAAAAACGGAACATTGTTCTGGGAATTCGCAAGGAATCCCCCACAAACCAAAAGCTAAATCAATCCAATTATAGCAGAAAGAAAGCTGACTGACCTCTAAGAATCTCGATTCTTGCTCGAGCCGCTTGACCTCGGCAAGTATCCTATGCTTTCCCCCGATATCAGCCGTTGCGGTCACGGAGAGAAGCCGCTGAGCAATCGGGCCGGAGGAATCAGACCTATCCGATTGCATCTCTCTACTCTCACAGAAGAGAAGAAAGGAGAAAGCCCAAATTAAAAAGAAAAGGCGCAATCTTTCTTATAGCTCAATAGCAGAAAGAGCTCCCGGCTTTCTTAACAAAGGAAAGGCAAAATGGTGGGAGCGGAAAAGTTTGGTTTTTCCCCCCAGCGTATCAGAGTAAAGACGCCATTAGAGATGTAAAGAAAGGTGACCCAGAAATCTCCATGGACCCCATGCAATTGGGTGGACAACAAGAGACGGGAAAGGGAAATCGGAAGCAAATGAAGAGAAGAAAACTCAATGAAGGAAGCTGCTGCCCGTGCCTGCTTATTTGTGCTTTGTTAGCCAATTTCTTGTCTGTTTTTTGTGATTAAGGGATGGAATAATGCTGCTGGGGAAAGATTCGAAAGAAGGTGGAAGGAAGGGAGAAGGGAAAATGACAGACCCTAGAAATTAAAATACACTTTTTTCTCTTGGAAAGGAAAGTGAGAATTTGCAGGTTGGTTTGGTTGCTAACCGTGCTAGAGTCGTTTCTATGTGTACTTTCTTCACCTTTATTTTATTTTTTTACCAGGATCGGTGAGAACTCTTATTAACCAGTGTTGGCGGTTACATTATCCAGCTGTAATTGGTCAACAAGAAAGATAGGGGTCTATCTATCCAGGCTATAAATTCGTTTCATCTCGTTTCCGAGTGCGCCATAATATGAGCTGCATTATTCCCATCACGATAGACATGTTGCCAAGACCCTGTCCCTGACTCTTCCAGAATGCGGCGGATGCTTCTGCAAATAACGCCAGTCTCCGAATTAATCTCCTCGGCTGTTTGAATTTTTGACATCAATCCAAGACTGTCAACCTCAATGATGAGGTTCATAAAATTATGTTGTTGCGCCATCTGTACACCAAACTCTGCTGCCCTTGCCTCTGTCGCTTCGACCTCCCATCTACCTTGGATTTTCATAGCTTCCGCCATTAGGAATTGGCCCTGTGATCCTCGGGCAACCATTCCTAATCCGATCCCATCTCTGTGAAGGATGGCCGCATCAGTATTGATCTTTACGCTTCCGGGATTCGGCGCACACCACTTGACATTGCCTCTCACTTCCTCCTGGACCGCCACAGCAGCTTGCTGGGACCTGTAGTCGGCAAGAAACGCCTGTGCTCAGGGGATAATCTCCTGTTCGATCATCTTTGTGCCATTGAAGAGCTGGGCGTTGCGTTCCCGCCACAAGAACCAGAGTACAACACACCAAGCTTCTACATCCTCCTTGTCCCTTCCAACCAAAGCTTCAACGACCCAACAATAGCAATCCTCCAACGTCCGACAGGAGAAAAATGCCTCAAAATCATATTGTCCCCAGATTCTAGAGGTACAGCCACAATCCCCAAAAAGGTGCACCTGGGTTTCCCTGCTATCACAGAATGGACATTTATCACTCCAATTCGTGCTCTTAGTACTTATTTTGTCGCCCGTCGGTAGAATCCCTCTCATAAAGTGCCACATAAAATGCTTGACTATAGGGGGAATTTTCATTGACCAACGATGCTTCCACGTTGTCGCATCACCAACCGAGGACATAGCCCGCACGCGGAGGAAGTTGTCCAGCCAAGATTTGTAGCCTTCCTTGACAGTGTATTCTCCTGACTCGCTTGCCGACCAGATTAACCTGTCTCTTTCACCATTTCCCCTTAGAGGGATTTGTAGTACACGTTGACCAACTTCAACTGGCATGCACTCTTCAATGGTTTCCCAATCCCACCTCTCTGTAACCGGGTTAATAAGCTGCCTGACATTGGCGTCAATGGGGAGGCCACGCGGAGCCGAGGGAACAAAATCAAGCGAGCCCCCTGGAAGCCATCGGTCACCCCAAATCCTCACATCCGCTCCGTTCCCAATGCGCCATCGCTGGCCACCGTTAAGGAACTCCTGCGCGCTACAGAGACTCCTCCAGATGAAACTAGGGCGATAGCCTACATTAGCTTCCAAAACCGAGCTATGCTTGTGATACTTGGCTTTCAAAATTTGAGCAATCAGAGAATTGGGACGTTGAAACAGCCTCCACATTTGTTTGGCAAGCATTGCAGTTTTGAAGCCCTCAAGATCCCTGAATCCGAGGGCGCCCTCCTCCTTCGGCACTAGCATACCTTCTCTATTTAGCCAATGAATTCTCGTCTCGGAACCCTTCTACCCCCAATAGAAATTCATGATAAGACTATGAATCTCGTTAATGATAGTAACCGGGATCCGAAAAACAGACATAGCATAAGGGAGCTGGGCCTGAGCAACAAAGCGAATCAGGGTGTCCCTCCCCGCCACAGACAGTGTCTTTTCTTTCCAGCCCTTCAGCTTCTTCCGAATTCTTTCCTTCAATCCATTAAATATCTCTTTCTTGGATCGACCCACCACAGTCGGTAGCCCCAGGTACTTGTCATGCTTATCCACCAGTGTCATCTGCAAAGTAACACTGATCATAAGCTTCTGGTGAGTCTTAACTTTCCCGCTAAAACAGACAGCCGATTTCTGGAAATTCACCAGTTGACCTGTTTTTTTCTCATACAGGGTAAGGATTTCTTCTAACACGCCACTCTCCTGCTCCGTGGCCCTCCCAAAAAACACGCTGTCATCCGCAAAGAATAGGTGTGAGATCGTCGGTGCTCCCTATGCTAGCTTTAGACCATGGAGTCTCTTATCCCGAACCGCAACCTTCGTAATCGCAGACAACCCCTCTGCACAAAACAGGAAGAGATACAGAAAAAGCGAGTCACCTTGTCGCAGACCCCGACTCGGCACAAACGTCTCACACTGATGCTCCTTTACTAGAACAGAATAGGAGACCGTGCTAACACACTTCATAATCAAGTTGATCCAGCGCCGATCGAATCCCATCTTGGACATCACCCCATCCAGAGAATGCCATTCGACTCGGTCATAGGCTTTAGCCATGTCGATCTTTGCCGCAAACATCCCCACTTCTGCCTTTGATCGAGACTTCATGGTGTGAAAACATTCAAAAGCTGCCATGATGTTATCCGTGATAAAACGACCTGGGACAAAAGCGCTCTGCTCCTGCGAAATCACAAGGTCCAAAATAAGCTTCAGTCTATTAGCCAGTACCTTAGCCACCAGTTTATACAACACATTGCACAAACTGATAGGTCGGAAGTCTTGGGGAGTGCACGACTCTTTAATCTTCGGGATCAGAGCGATTAGGGTGTGGTTGAGTTGTGGCGGCATCGGCCCTCCCTCCAGGATACTCAAAACTGAGGCAACAACATCATCCCCTACCACCGCCCAATGCTTCTTAAAAAATAGCACCGAGAACCCATCCGCTCCCGGGGCCTTTCTTGAACCCATCTGTTTTAGAGCGCAATAAACTTCCTCCCTGTCAAACGACTTCAAAAGTTCCTCGTTCTGCTCCTGGGCGATCGACGCCTGAATAGCATTTAGGACCGGGGTGTCCGTGGGTGGGCAGGTAGCTGTAAACAGACTAGAAAAATAGTCAGTAAAACAACCAAAAATCTGCTCTGGCTATGTATGCCATAATCCAACACCATCTTTGATTCGTCTTATCGTGTTCCTTTTCCGGCGCGCACTAGCTTTTTTGTGGAAGAAAGGAGTGTTTTTGTCACCCCATGCAGCCAGTCCGCCCTCGATCTCTGGCTCCAGTAAAGCTCTTCATTTTCCTCTAGCTCAACGAGTTCCAGCTAAAGCTGTCTTCGCTGTCCATCCCAGAAGGCTGTGCGGGGTCTCCTATCCAGGACTTTCATAGCCTTCTTTATCTTAGCTCTCTGCGTTCCAAACCGCGGGAAGGTCTCTTTGCTCCAGCTTTCAAGGATGACCTGCAAGACAAAAGCTTTGTTAAAGTATCAGCTCTTGCATGGTTCCTCCAAACCTCCACCACCACCTTGGGGCAGTCCACATGCTTCGCCCAGTGAGGTTCATATTTAAATGACCACCCCCACTTGGGCTCAACATCTGCTTCTCCTTGCGTATCGCACACAATTGGTCGATGATCCGACCTCTTTTTGTCGAGATGGAGCACTCGGGCCACGAGAAAGTACCACACCAAGCATCATTTGCAACAAACCTATCCAACCGCTCCTCGATAAAAGCACCTTGACTTCTCCTATTTTCCCAGGTAAAAGGGTATCCGTTGTATCCCATATCCCAGAGACCCACATCACTCAGGCAATCATCAAACTCGCGCATCGCCCCATCAGCAACCATGCCACCTCCACGTTTCTCTTCTGTAAACCGTACCTGATTCAAGTCCCCACCACGCAGCCAAGGGCCTTCCCATTGTGCAGCTAGTCGTCGAATAAGTTCCCAGGATCTCCACTTATCAGCATCTCCGGGCCACCCATAAACTCCCGAGAACCTCCATACACCATTCTCATCCTCAGTAACTCGAGCATCTATGTGATGTAGAGAAAGAGACATAACCTGGATATTTATACCTTCCCTCCACCACAAGCTTAGACCCCCAGCCCGACCGCCGCCAGATTGATCTGTGGACCAACCTTTACCACCCTTGAAACCCAATTCTAGTTGAGTCGCCTTATTTTCCTCAGCCAACTGTTTTGTTTCCATTAAGAAAACAACATGCGGGGAGTAAAGCCGCAAAAGCGACTTAAGAGATCTAACTGCCGCTTACTCCCCAAACTGCGGCAGTTATAGCTCAAAATGCGCATTAATGACCTAAAGGGGATAGGTTCCCCGCACCATCATTATGAGATTGGCCAACATTCTCCCCCATCGTGTTATTCCTTTCACTAGCAGTCCTTGTGACTCGCGTTGACAGCCCATTCTTTCCACCGTCCTTTGCATGGCCTACATGCATATCACCAGCCACTTTTATTCCCTTTTTGGTACACTTCCCTTGCCCTTGCGAATTTGTTTTTCCTCCTCCCTTTGTTTGAGGTTCTTGATCATGCATACTGACTCGGCTATGTGATATAGGCTTGGCACCTTCATTGCGTCCTTCAGACGTTTTATTGGTCATATTAGTGCTCTCCATCTCCAAACCCGACACCTTCTCCTTAGTTCTTTCTCCTCGATCAGATTGTGGTACCTTCCCCGCAGGAGTGGCCTCCGGCTCCAAGCTTGGGTTCACATTCTCAGTTTCCTCACCCAGGACCGCAAATCGGTTCATAGGGCTCGCCCCACGATTACCCTCGTTAGGCTTCATTGGATTATCTCCCTTTTTTACTGACCATGCCCCTTTCTTCTTCACGGACATCCATTCACCATAAACTCGCCCTGCCGTTTGAGGGGCAGCAGGAGATGCACTGTCATCATTCACTATCGGGTCCTCCGTTTCAGCTCCCATACTGCTACACTGGCACTTACCCGTTAGTTGACCAAACATACCACACTCACCACATATTTTCTCAAGCCCTTCATACTGGATGATGTACGTTACCCCTTCAACTTTGTATTGTGACAGGAGGGGCTTTGTTAAGTCAACTTCGACACTAACTCTAGCATAGTTTCCCAGGGCACCAAGCTCTGTAGCACGGTCCAC